TGCTCCGGATCCACGTATTGGTCCGGCGCGATGCTCGTAATGGTACAACCTTCGATGCTGATTGCATGACCCAGTTAATTTTGTCTTTCAATTCATTCCACGCATCATTCGCTGAGCTGTGCGTCTGTAGGTCCCAGTCAACGGTTGCTGCTAAGCTGCGCAGCTTATAATAATCCGCAATAATGCGTTGAGTCTCTCTTTCTTTAGCAACAATACTGGCATAACATACATAACCAAATGTTAGGACTGAATGGTCGCTACGGCCCAGTGAAGGATCGTATGCTACTGACTCAACCATCAACTCTTCATTGGTCAGGATTAAGTCCAGGAGTGATGGCTCATTTGAACCGCGATGTCTGGTTGGTCGATGCACATGGTTATACAAAACTGCCATATCCATGATTTCGAGGAGTTACGATTTAAATGATGGCCCATTAGGGGACATTGATGCTATTGAAGGAACATTAAAGTCCCCCATTATAAGATAGTGAGAGTACTTTTGTGAAACAGCATAGCGGAGGGAGTTTAACAGAATGTTATCGCTCTCTGCTGATGAGTTTGGAGGTCTATAAATAACTGCTAAGAGGCAAGCATCACTCTTCTTCTGTGAACCAACATCTCGACCTGCTAGTTGCAGTCGGCAAAATAGTGCGTCGGGAATAACAAGGGAATTTTCGGTAAGAGCCTCACATTTCAAATAATCTCGATAGTAGAGAGCAACACTGCCACCGCGAGATGGACGATCATTTCGAATGACTGACATCTCACTGAGTTCAATCTCTGGATCAAGTATGTCGTTTGAGAGCCAAGTTTCAGTAACTGCTATGAGGTCCCAAGTTGTTGTTTCATGTCGATGGCGCAGCTCCGAGAGCTTAGAATACAACCCCTGAGTGTTGGTGCAACAGCATTGTATTTGTTGACGCATCAGGAGCTCGGTTCGCTGTGAGTGGCCGGCACAAATAGTGCCGGTCTGCTGAAGTTTTTCGAAACAGTTGTTTGCACAGTTGGCTGGTTTGAGATAGGTACAATTGAGGCTGGCTCATCTGTATCTGAGGTCCGTACTAATTGAAGGAATGTTCTTAACCGTATTCTGGTGGCCCAAGTTTCCTGTTGTCATGCCATGATTGAATTGTAACTGATACCATTTCGGGCGCAGCCAAGGTAACTTTCAAAATTCGTGGCCCGCTACCTTGGTAGTTTGTGGAAGCAATTAGACGAGTGACGTCAAAAGCCACGACGTTCTGCATGTCGTAGAGTTCTGCGATGTACCGCCATTCTTTGATGTCGTGCTTCTGTCGTTCACTGCTATCGTCATGCTTCAATCCTGGCACACCATGAACCAGTACCACTTTCTTCATCTCATTTTGACTTGACGAACTAGGGTTGGATTTACGCTTCTGTCTTTCTGCCCATGGCCTGTCAGGAAAAATGCGGGCACTGACAGAAGAGTTCACTAGCATGTGGCTTGCTAAGAGAACATCTTTCAGGTCGCGCGTGTTGCCAAACGTTACTCGCAGTAACCGAGGTTTCCCCAAGTGTGGAGATGATGGATTTCGTGAAAGACGTCTAAGACTAGTTGGAAGAACTTTCAGTCCGAGTGCGCAGACTATTTCAGTCCACCGGTTTTGTTTCTCGGCTTGTCTACCTTTTAGCGATTCGCTAGTGAGTTCTGGGACGTTTGAACATATTACTGTCATCGTCTTTTGGTCGCGTAGTAATTGTTTGTTCTGCAGTTCCTTGTGAGCGTAGGTTTGTTGAGTGGGGATGTCCGGCTTGTCTTCCTTGGATGATAGGCCAAGGCTACAGCAAGAAATTTACGTGCAACTCCGTCAGTTGCCCTATCTGTAGAGGGTCAATTGTTGTTGCCCAGCTACTGACGGAGGTGATCGTGCAATTTGTGCATAACTCTGCATGCTTTGGCGCATTACGTGAGACATGGGGTACCGTTCAAGCGGCCTGTTTACACTGCTGTTTTTCAGTAACGGTGTTTGATTTTCGCTGGACTGGGTAGCACTGTTGCTAGAGAGCTTTTGCCTTTTAACAGGTCGGGGATTCGGGCTACGTACTGCACTAATCTGCAACTCGAGTTCTGAGATTTTCCCTCTCAATGCCGCGATCAGTTCCTTTTGGTTTGCAGACGTAACAGCCAATGCTTCACACCTTATCGCAAGTTTTTGAACAATCTTACTTATCGGACTATCTGAAAATGTCACAAAACCACAAGGTATCTTTCTATACGCTGTTAGCTCCGTTAAGTGTAATGTTTACATTTGTCGCGTCATATAAGTTGGCACAGAAGGAACACGTGATTTTCGAGCGGATTTTAGTGCCCCGCTTGCCTGAGCTAAGGTTGACCTTAGGTTGGTTGCTCACTGGATTCCCGTTTGACAAGCTTCTCCGGCCCATGGATCAATGATCAGTATGCACTTTTAGGTTGCGCTGGTCACGCCGTTTGGGGTGCCTCAGTTGTCTGCTCCAGTCAGCACGTTTGGGTGGTGCATCACTGGGCGCACGGGTAGGCAAAATCACACATCAACCAAGTACCCAATCCTACATAAATAGGTCTGTAGGACCGACGTTCTCTAGGTTGCTAGCCTAGGCAGTGATGCAGGCGCTGGAACAGATAGCACGCTTATCTGCGTATCTAAGCTTTGCATACGCTGCGTAGAAGACACTTACTTCTTTCCGAGGTGCTTCAAGTTAGAAGAGAGTACACGAGCTAACTAATAACCATGCTCGATGGTATTTATTTTACAAGGAAAATGAAGACGACGGGCATTTAGCGTTCTGACACATCACTGAAAGGAATGATGCTGGGCCAATTCAAGCGCTGGTCTATTGAAAATAAACTCATATGTACCAGATTTTTAGCAAGGGTAGCAATCATCCGACGGTCTACAATCTCACTCGCGTGTGAATCACTTCAAACACGCACTTACACACTGTGGCAGAGTGCAGCTAATACGAGTTGAGAAGGAGCATAACTTCAGTCTGCACAGAGTAAGATCGAACACAGAAGACCTCAAGCTGGGCTACCTGACACCATAAAGTTAACACCGACATACGCTGACAAATGCAACAGGTGAAAAAGTATCCGCACTACCTTACATCAACGGAATCTTTGAGTTGCCAAAGAGACTTTGGTTGCCTCTGAAGTTTTGTTTATCAAGCAAGAATAACGGATACAATAGAATTTAATTCAGCCAATTCACCATCGTCACTTCCAATCAGCAGGCTTGGGATGAGCTGGAAAAGCACCAGACGCCGGTGTTTCGACCTTCTGTCTCTCTTCAGTGGTGCGCTTCCCAGCGGACCCCTGCCGTGTTCCATCCCAATGACTTCAGGATGCCAGCAGCTAATGCCACTTCAACATGGGGTGACACCTGCGGACATGCGTGATTGACAGTTGACTATGATATAGCCTGGCACATCTTCCCTTGCATGCCAGTTAGGAACTGTGCAGAGGACAGTGGCTAGCCTTACGATCTAGGATTTTCTGCATAACGATAATGTACGACAAAGGACTTAGAAGCTATACGGACAGATTTTAAGTTACTGAGGAGAAGTAGTGAGGATTTTGGTATAATTCAGCTAATACATCAGCCGTACTCCCAATCAGTGGAAGTTGAGCTGGGCTATACCATAGGCTAATGACAAGCACGCAGGTCAGCCGCTGTCACACATGGCGAAGTGGCACCAGCTGCTAGCATCCTGAAGTCATGAGGACAAAAACGCGGCAGGGATCCGCTGGAAGGCGCACCACTGACGAGATCCAGTAGGTCGAAACGCCGTCGTCTGGTGCTTTCTAGATGACGAATTAGCTGAATATACCAAAAGCCTCACTACTACCCATCAGTAAATTGAACCTAACATACCTAAACATACCAATGAGGAAGGAGCCGATACAATGCAAAATATCTGTTGCCAAAATTATGACCAGTGTTACGTGAGAATGACGGAAAGGAAGGCTTATACAATATTAGGTTAATCCTGCCTTGTTCTACGTCACTGCGATGCAAATTGATTGATCTCTGCGCATAATGATGCCGAAAACCATCAATTAAACTTAGAGCACTCCAAAAGCATGGGAAGGGCAAAAAGCCAGCAAACGCGTGAATCCAATGATAAATGGCAATCAAAGTGGAATTTCAACTGTAGATATTGACTTAAAAGAAGCTTAAGAAATTCTGCAAACCAGGCGCGTGAAGATGCCTGATTGATGCCGTCTAGTTTGAGAAAGAAACGTTTGCATACTAATCAATCAGTTGAAAGAAAGAGGCAGAAACGTTAATTCATTTTGTTTCATATACTTGAAATGATAAATAGCTTCATCTCAACTAATGTAAATGATAAGGTTCAAAGAATATTATCACATATTAGTAACAGCCTGAGTCTCCTGGAAATGATTATTTACATATGTGGATCTAGGTGCTTCAGGTGTATAGGCAGTTGTTTAGACATCCGTTGCAAAAGTGATTTACAGTCTACCTTGCGATTAGTAATTATTCCACAACATGTATCAACATAATCTGGTAACACCGATGAAGTGAACAAACCTCGGAGCAGTAATATGCGTAATCAGTGGTGTGCAGTGGTGTACGAAATATTCAAGCCGTTTGTTTTACATCTGCTATTGTTACTACTTTTGGCAAACAAATTGTTTATAGAGGGAAAGACCATGCTGAAATTTTATAGGTTACTGCGGCTGTCAGAAAAATCTGATGAAAGATTTGTCGGAGATACAGCGGACTGTCGGGTATTAATTTCATTCGTAGACGCTGTTTCCATATCGCAGCTGCAAATGCTATTTAATCTACGTCGCATCCTGAGGCACCACATGACGCAGCCCCGAAAGATAGATAATAATATTTTAACAATACAAAACTTATGTCAATAGTTTTGTGTATCCAGGTATACATCAAATCATAGAATAATTGACCTTGAAATTTATTACCATTAGCTTCAAAGTGCAAAAGAATCTGTTATCAAATTTAACTTACCGACATATATTTAACAAGCTTGCATACGGGATCAGGAGCATAGAAGCCAACCGTTAAATTCCAAACAATTTGTGGGCATACACCTCCGAGCGCAACGAACAAATCTGTGTGGGAAAATGTGACTTTCTCCTGAGAGGTCAAATAACGTAGGTTTAAAACAAAAACAAGTAAATTTTAAATGTCGAACAGTCGGTGTGTAAATATGCTCGGAGCTTGGTCCATGTCCTATTTTAGCTGTATACAGAATTTTACCTGGGTTCTATAAATTTCGAGAGCTATTTGTCCGCTCAAATCTGTCACATGGATTTAGATTTCTATGATTTATTAATAGTCGGCTTGAGTAAGTTGGGCTGATACCTTACTTATTTTTAATAATATTTTTATTCGTTGAGGTCACATTCAGTATAATTGAAACAATGCCATTAATAAAACGACATATGGTATTTTCTAAAAGTGTCCAAGTTGTACAACGCTAAGTATGCTTTAATTGATAAAATATAGTTTACAATATAACGCTTAAGAATAGTTGTCAAACTACACGAACGCTTATGGACTGAACAATAAATTCTTAAATTAGTTGTCGTGTTAATGATAAAAGACCCAACACTCGCCGAGCTTATATTTTACTACTTTATTATCAAAAGTCCTACCAGATGATTCAAAACCCCACGTTTCATATAGATTTCTACAAACACTTAGCAAAACAGAAGAATAGGAATGTTCTAACCAACGGTTAAAACTTCTCGTAACCTACTTCTTTTTGTAAAGAAGACGTCAGTGATTAGGTAGGCGATTATATTTTCCAAAGTTTTATCACACGTGTACTCAAATGTCAAATGGGTTCTATGAGTTATAAGTGGTAACATTACTCTCAGATATTTAACAGCTTAAAAGGTAAATTGAACGTTCTGGTTAGCTGCTAACCCCAAGATGTAACAGCGAGAGCGTACATTTTTAGAAATGACGGTGTAGAAGAATCCCGAACGCCATATACTGTGGTACCTTCATCTTGTTCAATGATCCTCCGGTTGTGATTTTCTTTTTCATTTGTCGCACTCCTGTTCCTGTCCCAACCGATCTTTAGTATCTGGTTCTCAATAGAGATTGTGTTTCCTTGCCAATTTAATTAGGTTTATTTACACTTTAAACACGTGGATCTCCGGCATTCAATCGTGCATGCATTGACCTAGTGTTATAAGTTTTGAACAGATCTCATTGCCGCTTCACGTGGCTTCGCCTCATGTTATCAGTTTTATTATGTTCCGTTTTAACTCCCACACCGTGACATTTGGATGCAGGCGAGCAAGGCATTCCTCACATCGCATGTGACCTAACGACGTTGCGAGATCATATGAGTAGAGTTCACATGCATTAAACCACCTCCTCCATGAGACTGATTGTAAATTTTAATCAATGTGCAATTGAAGCCTTTGAAACACTATCATGGTGTATGTGTATGTGTAAGCACTGGCTGAACGCCCACGTTTCACGGCAACCTGCCTTTCCGATTGGTCGTGTGTAAGCCAGTTGAAGTCACAGAATACTGATATCAGCCTATTCAACGTGGACTTGATGCTCGGCTTTCTGTCTACGTTTGTTTTCGTTGTTTGATACGCCTGTGCCGGAAGCACAGATTGTTGAGTTTTTGTATATTATTATTTTTACTTATTTGAAAATAACACCATATTCCAGTTCCCCTCTTGTCTTGTTGAAACCGGTGAAAACGCCTTCACTCAAGACTTTCAAGTGAACTGTCGCTTACCGCTGCAAAGTATGCGGGATTGATTTTATGTAACTAGGCTGAATGGCGCTGATACGAAATGTGTGATTCCCGGAGAATCGCACACTGTGTGTCAAGTAAGCCGTGAGATAACTAGCCTTTAGAGTTCCCTCTCCGGATTTACATTCCTTACATTGCCACGAAAACTAGTTTTATAATATATTGCTCTGCTTTTCACTGAGGATAGATGTTATTTCAATGAAATTCATTGGTTGTTGTAGATTTCAGCAGCGTTTTACCTCGGATGGCAAGAATGCCATTGCATGCTTAGACCAACTATGATGATTATTCAGTAGAAGTTCACGTACATGGAAATCGCATTACTGCTTATCACAATGGTGCATTCATTTTGACCTAATCGCTACGCAGCCGGCTGTATCTAACATTCCTGTGAATTGCACTGCAGCTCGAACAAACAAACTGGTAAACTTATATTAACGCATACCATGCGCAAATCGACAAGCGGTGAACCTGGTTAGTAGATGGGGCAGCCGAAATATAACATTTATGATAGCGCAAGTACAAACAAGCGTCCATAACTAGGAATGAGTTACAACATTTGGAAATAACAGACAACAAGGAGCACACAAGTTTGTTAGCAAAAGTGACACATTTCACGTAGACTTCAGAGCACTATTAGCTCTCAAACGGAAGATAGAAAGGAACAAATAGATAATCTCTCAGGTGCATTTAGCAATGGTGCAGTATAAAAACAAATGATACAGACTACACAATATTGGTGCAAAACGTTTGCTGTCGATGGGTCTCAGAAGGTAGGTAGTTTTAAAATTCACCTGAGTATGCAACACAATTTTTGTTTACGAAGATAACGATAAATGTTGCGTAATTCAATTTGTTCAAATAATGCGCAATCCTGCAAAAATGTTAAGCTTTTCACTACATTTTGTTGGCGGAAAATCTGCTACGGACATTTTGTTTAACCATGGAGACATAAGTTTTGTTAAGAAAAATACAGCTGACAATTCGTGCATTTAGCTTCACTGAGTTTTATTGAATGGACGGCTTTGATGTTGCTTGTTATAATTGATAAAACCAAAAAGATACAAGAATCTCATTTGTTATTTTACCCTGCTAACTTCGATGGCATCCGTACAAAATACTGGTGGCACTTTTGCGCTGAAGCTTCTAACAAGCAATCCAAGTTCAATATTGAGGGTCATTTTGAAGTACACGTTGTGTGGATGGATTGCGACGCGCAATCTCAATGTTGACCGCGATTCGCATTGAAGTGAACCTTGGTCTTTCGATCACGACGATCGTAGCTGATGCAAATGGAAATTGGATGTTGCCCGCCCGAAAACACTGCACTACTATGACGCGTTTCGATGTTATTACATCCCATCAGATAGAGTTAGCAGGCATCGAACCCGGGACCATTGGGATGTTAGTTGTGACCGCTACCCCTAAGCCACCGGGTCAGGACGTGCAACGCTTGGCACAACGGTATAATGATCCATGGTAACGGTCATCTTCTAGTACATGTTGTGTCACAACTAACATCCCAGTGGTCCCGGGTTCGACGCCTGCTAACTCTATCTGATGAGATGTAATAACATCGAAACGCGTCATAGTAGTGCAGTGTTTTCGGGCGCGCAACACCCAATTTCTATTTGCGATCCAAGTTCAGTTATTCAGTAACCTTTTTGTTGGAACTTCGAACATTGACAACAACGTTAAAATACACATTTGCCGTTTGCAACTATCTTGCCGCACGCAACACGACTTTTATATGTAACAGTCTCTTATGTGACCATGCTGTCACGTTTCCATAACAAGGTTCAACGCTCGTACTCTAGGAAAATTAGGTTGACAGCCTGCACTCACACGCAGGTTGGACACTCTGGGTATTGTAGTGTGTTGTACACTTGAAACTGGGATCAGGGACCCTCACGGGGGTGTTGAATTTACTGCGTCCGGCTTGTCCTCTTGTTATTTGTTGAACTCGACCGGAGATGCTGATACTACAATCACTGCTCAAGCTATTGTGGGCATCGTTCTCAACCCCAAGGCTGATTCGTCATAGGTTGAACGGATTTCCGTGAGCAGCCGTTAATTTGCAGTCCGGTTGATGGCACCAGATAAGGTTGATTCAAGAAATAGTGCTAAAATCTGCTTACTTGTGATTTCTGCTTATGCCCCCCATTGACTGCCGTTCCGATGCTACAAGGGACACATTCTACCACGGACTGAATAAGCTGCCTTGCAGGGATACCGGTTCAAATATCCTAGCATTTGCAAGGGATATGAATGCGCAGTTAGCTTGCCTGGGATTTCAGAGGCATAACTAGGAGGTACTTATGGGCTAAACTCGGAATGGACGAATACAGACGAAAGTCTGTTGCAACTGTGTGAGAAGCACCGGTTGCCTTTTAATGGCAACGCTTTTAAAAACGGTGGGCGGCGGAGTCCCGCATTGGTCCTCCACTAGCTGGCCAGCGATGGACTCAAATAGATCACGTTGCAATTGCTTATAAGTAGCGTGGTTACATTGTACTTTGGCGCTGATTCTGGGGTATTTGCTTTCGACTCTGCTCATACCTTGGTACGTTGTCGTGTTTTCATGAATTTACTGGAAGGCGCAAATGCGAAGTTATCTTAGCTCTCAGTCAGGCTACCCTGCCACGATGCACTGGGTACCGAATATTCCTTCTCTTCCATAATGATACTGACCCACAGTGGAAATGGATCTCTGCCACCGTGCGCGACTCAGGAACAGCTGCTTTTGGCCCTATCAGTCATCATTGAACCAGTCACTGGATAATGGTAAAGTCGCGGAAAGCGTTGGAATGCAGAATACCTACCCGGCTGACAATGAGAACAAGGTGAATAGACGGAGTATTAGGTGCAAAATTAAGCAGAGCCTGATCGCTGACAATGTGGCCCGGTGGACCTTTCGGGCTCAATAAATGAAGGAGGCGAGAACAGTAGGCAATTATGACAAGCGCTAGAAGGACAAGCTCTTCTTTCAAATATCAGGGGTGAGGAATTCGCTTTAAACCCGGCATCATAAGTTTGTACCGGTGTCCGCTTTTTTGCTGGAGATCATAAATAAAGAGGCAGCCTAAATATAGCAATTCACTATATTTTCTTATACTGTGAGTAACGATTATCTTGATTCGCACTTGACGAAACATAAGTCTCAAGCCATAGTTTTTGTACTGAACTTCGTAGAGCGAGTCAAGCAAACTCGGAATGAGCGTAGTAGCGACGAATTGGACACGTTCAAACTTCATTGCATTGCTCGGGTGATTGCATAAATGGCGAGCAAGCTGTATTTTGGCATTTATCATATTAGGTGAGTTA